CTTCTTCATGCACTTTCATACGAAATGAAGGTTCCCCTAACAATGTTATCTCAGGAGATTCATCGAAACCAAGTTTCTATTCGTATCTTATTTTACTCTTTTTTCAATGTATTATCTTAGATAAACCACAATTGCATCGCAGTAGCGACCCAAAAGGAAATTATTGAGTTGGATGTCAGCAACCTTGTTCATCCGCCAAGCTGGATTCATGACGAGCTTGACTATGACATTGAAATAATGCGCAGGTACTTAATTTCCCATCTTAAAATTGGATGACCATTTGTTGGCTGTAACCATTAGCATTTATGTTTATTTATTTCCACTCTTCTGTGGATAGAGTGTCTATCTCAGGATGTCTGGTCTTTGTTTTATATTAGGATTCAGAATCCTCCTAAATTATCTCACGTCATAAGTTCACCGATTTTCAAATACTTCTATAATGCTCACTTCACTCTGTCTCGGGGTGACTTATTATCCGAGTCCAATGACGAATTTACTGGCCTTTAGTAGCAGCCTCCATTTTATCTTGCATTCCTGATTAATATCATATTAATCATATTGAGAGTTAGGCCACAGCCTATTTATGAGTGAATTTTCAAATTATGAATAAATTGTTTAATAATAATAATAATAGTAATAATATGTGCAACCTAATATTTTCATAACTACTTCACATAGATATCATTACGCCTATTATTATCACCAATATTTTTACTTCAAATGGGCAACTTTGTCAAGCTTGCAAAAATCTCCATTTCTCTTGCGTCTGATTATCTGCTGACGATGCTGGGCTCAGCTGATCGTTGTTTCTTAGTCTATTAGATGATTCACAATAGTTGATGGCTATCTAGAATTCGGATCTAGGTAGATTTTAAAAATCCGTTTGACAAATGCTCCTAATCACTAGCCCTCCACCACCTCTGTATATTCGATTAACTACTCGTAGTATTCTGAACATATATAATTGTAAGAACAGGATTCTTAATGAAAAATAGCAGATAAGTTTAAACATGTCTTAAGATAACAAGTTACATTAGCCTTATTTATTCGGCACATGCATTTTATAAGATTATCCCTCTCCTAGAATATTCACTGTATGTTTGTATTTGCCATGATGCTACTGCTTCTTATGTAGACCACAGCCCCGCTTTCACCCTGACGGTGGAACCGACGACTTTTTTCTTTTTGAGGACTCTCGTTCATCCACAGGAGGTACTGGCCTAACTTCTGGCCTCATGGGAACACGTGATACGACAGGCTCGGCTGGAGGTACGACAGGCACCACTAGCGGCACTGGAGGAGGAGTCAGTCAGACAGCTACTTCCGGGGCTCAGTTGGTAGGCCAGATTCTTGTGCTTGCCTTTATTTTTAAAAATAAACCTTAGCATTATGAGTATTTAACTCTAATTCACTTTTTCATTACTTCGATTGCTAAACTTCCTAGTTAAATTGACTTTTTAGGCGATGTGAGTTATCTTACTTCATTTCCCTAAAGCCATTTGAACGGGTGATGTTCATTGGCAGTTTGCCTATTCTCCGATATAGCTTAAGGATTCTACTCATATAAGCAGAATATGGCAATATTAATCTCGAATGCTTTGCTTTATCTTAATATTATTTAGCCTCCAGTTAGTTTAAGGAAACTTTTTGCCTTAATACAGTTTTGTGTATCTTAGTAGACTTACCTACTCTTATTAGGTTTTTTCTTTTTAACTGGGGATTTATTTAAAGACCTTTTAAGCCACTACTTATTTTGAATTGTGCCAGTACTTGATGTGCTCAAACTGTTAGAATTAATGCCCCAACTGGTGGAGTCTTATATGAGTTTATTATTTTATTTGCCTTTAGTTCTATTTGGCTTTGAAATTTCGGCTTGCAACTGACATAAGTTGGAGCACAATATTTTTTCATCCAGGTTGCACTGCCATGCTTTACAGTTTCAACTCGTGGCTATCCTTAGAGGGAAGTTAGGCGTTTGTTTAGGTGGAAGTGTGTCTTTATTAATAACACGCTACTGTAGCATGCTTCATGCATGGGTCTGTTTCATTCAATGAGAAATATACAACTATTAATATTAGTAATTACAAAAGCTTTCTAGTCAGTTGACTTTGTGGTGCGACCTCATTATATAAATGGGTCTTACTACTCGTCTCTTTCTGCACATTTGCAAATAAATTCAGCAGCTGCTGGTTTCTACCGAGATCATTTTCGTGGTATATGACACGTATTGCATTTGACTTGCTCTCGGTCCTTTCAAATTTAAGCACTCGCAATTAGTTTACTAGACGCCAGTTCAGCACTCTTACTTGTGACTGCAAACATTTGCATCCTGCTGGAAAAATTGCTCTGCATAAGATTCGTCAAATTTTGTATCCACATAAATGCTTTAAATTTTATTGTATTTATTGTGTGAATATATTTACTGCAAAAAAATGTATCTACATGTAATTGCATAGTTTCGTTTCTGTTTTTTCAACGCCTTATCCAATATGTCTTTAGAATATGTTCTGAGAGCATTTTTCAGGTCTCCTTACCTTGTTTACCACAAATTATGAATTTATTTTTCTGCTATTATGAATTCCCGACCCGTTTTACTCCTCGTTCATCTTCTGCAACCAGCTACGTGGTCTCGCTTTGTCCGCCATTCAGAGTCAGAGTATCCAGTTATCTGGACAAGCGCTCGAACGGAGCCGGCGTACAGTCTCTACGGTGATTGCAAAAAAATGGGGAGGCAAAATAAGATTGGCTTCCTGCTATTGTCTTTTGTCGCACACTCTGTGTTGTCTTTGCTTTCATTGTCATCTTTCTTGGTTGCTGATCATTTTCTCTCTTTTATGGACGCATCTGCGCCTTACCTGCTTAATGTATTTTGCTACACTAATTCATTAAGTTCGGGAGTTTGAAAAATTCTTAATCTTTGCATGTTGGTCCTGGCCTTGCTCCTACTTTCTTCTTATATCGCAATCAGTTTCCTTCATATAACATTTAGGAGACTTATTTTCTGTGTAAAACATCTAGTATAAACTTTTCCCGCTATGTACTCACTTGAATTGGTTAATTCATATTACGGGTTCGTTGCCTTCCATACTTCAAAGTTGGGTATTCCAAAAACGACCACTACATTTAAAATAACAATAACCTTTCGTTTCAACCAATATATGTCAATTCAGGCTTTGTAAAAGATTGCTAAGGCCCTCAGGAGGATGATTATGTTTAGTCACTCTGACCTACCAATAGGTCTATTGTTGATAACCTAATTTTGGCGTGGAGTTGGGAAAAACGCATTGCTTTTAAGTTGTATTAATTTAACTAAAAATTAACTCAAGTCTGATTGAGTCCATTATTGCTCTTTAGTCTATGCCATTAAAACATTTAGTTCTATTTTCTCTGTGAATTTAGACCACCTCCCTTTCTTAAACAATACAATCTATTAATTTACGGTCAGTTATAAGGGCCTAATTCTACAATGCCAGAATTTCACCATTTCATTAACCACAACAATGAGCATCATATTCGGGCTTCAATTCGCAAACCTTCTTCATCAAGTGGCTTGACCTCGTTGTCGCAACTTGGTCTTGTTCTCAAGGAGACTATGTAGAACGCACCTAGTCCGAATTCGTCTGCCATAGTAGTTGTTAT